TTAAAAAAAGAAATATGTCGAGCTTTGTTTCATGAATGAACACATCGAACAAGCACAATCTTTAATATATAATTATGAATATTTCAATCCTATTGAACAGTGTAGACTGTGAGTGTATTCCTTCTTCGACCCACACCCTTCTTGAGCTGCAAATGCTACAAGAGTTAAAATCCTCATGTTTTGAGCAACCTATCGATTAATAAGTGGATTGCTGCCATCTTTCATTCTTGCTTGTAGTCTTACTTTTTTACCAAATTGCAGAGAATACATTGAAAGTTCAGAGAATGTAAATGGTCTGCTACAACACTAAACTTTCCTCGATAAATTTGGATGATCTTTGGATTGAGAGACATCTGTAGATTTTTTTTGTATTGCGACATTAAAAACGTTGGTGGAAACAAACCGATCGATACAAAGATTGAGAATGGTCTCAAATGGTAGAGAAATGAAGGCGCGATCTTTTGAAAAAAAAAGTCTTCCTTTGTATTGTAATCCTAATGAGAAACTAGAATATAAAATAAAAAGTCATAGTTGTCCATTAAATGTCTCACAAGATTTTCATTTTTGTTTTGCCTACAACTGTGTCATTTTTCAATACTTTGGAACCAAACTTTGCTCTCTTTTCTAAACCTATGCAAAATACTTTTGGTTAGAAAATCAGCTCTTGAGAAAGAACAGTTCTGGAGAAAATAACGTATTGATGTGAAATTGTATCGCAATATTTTTTGGATAATATCTATACCAATTCGCGAGCAAAACTCTACTTATTTTATATCAACCGACTTCTTGTAGAAGATGCTATTGATGTGAGCATTTATGCATCCTGAGACAAGTCATTATATATTGAAGCTTGACTTAAAACTAGGATAAGCTTTCCTCAGTAGAGATTTCTGTAGAAATGTAGAAATTTTGTAAACTCTACAAGGCGGAACCGCATTAGTGGTATTGAATCATATTCCTATACTAGCTTTGAAATTGTAGATCTGGAATGGAATCTTTTTCTGAAGAGAAGAGTTAAACAGTTTTACATAACGTATTAACAGACTTCGTACAATTAACTTGAAGATTATAGAGATTCTCGATGACATCAGTACTTGATTCGTCTTCATAATGGCAATCGGAAAACCTTTTCCCGTGTATCTCCTAACATATAGTAGCAAAATCAGCGAATCAGAGAAGTTTAATTTGAAACTATTTTTCAGTCATTTTTGTTGGCAAATGGTGGCCATTTTTTCCAAATCACCAATATAGATAGATAGATAGATAGATAGTACTTGACATCTACTATGCAGGCATATAAGGAAATTAAATTAATGTTGTATAGTTTTAATATACGACTCAAAGCAAAAGTGGTACCAGACTTTTGAGGTGCACTGTATACCTAAAAAGTAACTATAGTCAACTGTTTTTATGCATCTTTCACCGTATTCGGTTGGAAGAAAACATGGAAAATACACTAAAAACATCGAATGTGAAGAGCAGCCATAATTTCTGCGCTACCCGAGACTATACATTAAGAATTCGGTCCCATAATAGATCGGCTCTATCTCCATTGCTCGAATTCTATCTTTGAAAGAAAAGAACAGGAAAGAAAAACGCAACTCATCGCGAGTGTGTATGTCAGCCGACGGATGATGCAATGCACACACATGTTTTCGTCATTCTAACCGGGTGATAAATATCATCACACGAGCAGAGTAGTAAAAATGACGTTGCATTCCAAACTCATTCCTGTCGTATGGCTTGCTCATATTGGTGCATGCTACTATTCCATTCGACCGATTCACAAGTTTTCATTTCGAGCTCTGTTAACAATTGTACCATGCGGTATTTTGACGTTGGTTGGTTGTCACAATCTTGCTCCTCTCCGAATGGCGTCTGTCGTTACCATTTCACTTTCCTGGATGGCTACAATTCGTCTAGTGCACTTCACTGTGTTTTTGCCCGATCACTCTATTTCTTTTGCGTCGTTTATTGGTAAATTTGTCTGGTTTTTCATTCCAGTCATAAAATGCAAGTCAAAGTACTCAATCATTATAAACTTTATGTCAGCCGGTGCCAAACTGTTACTCAATCATTGGATTTATCAATGGCTTCTTGCCTGTGCACCAAGTGATAGTTATATCAGAATGTTGATGTTCTATGTGTCTATTTGTACCGGTACGCACCTAGCTGACACACATGCTGCCATTGTGGGACTGGTTACATGCAACAAATACACTCTTCTATCATATAATAATGCTCCATTTTTGTCGCAATCTATTCGGAAATTTTGGGGTTGTCGTTACAATCAACTTGTAGGTTCAGTACTCAAGGAGTCGGTTTTTGAACCCACTCGTCGCTTGCTTCATTCATCAACAATTGCTGTTCTGACAACTTTTACATTGAGCGGTCTACTTCATGCTCATGTGGCAGTGGCCGTATTCGGTGCTTCATCTCCAGTATCGGCATTCACATTCTTCTTTCTACAGGGTATTGCTTGCTGTGTCGAAAATCTTTGTTCTCTTACTCTACCAAAACCAATAGGAATCGTGACGACGCACATATTTCTTCTTCTTACAGCGCCACTCTATATTGGACTATTTACACGTGCCGGTCCTGCGTTCTTTGCACTCAATCCTCCACCATTATTTGGCGGCAAATGGATACCTCAACTACCATTGCCAAATTTTTCTCCCAAATGAACTATAAATATAGAATAATAAATTTGCCCATGCACGAACTCGTCGATTCGACATAGAATCAAACACAAGAAAGTCGATACGATTGTAGCATATACTATAGATAGAAACAGTTCTGTTCCCATTTTTATTGAGAAACTGAACAAGATAAAGATTTAGTTGCTGCCGAAACAGTTTCATACAAAATAAAGTAAATTCTTCGAGCAATTCAGTCTACATAACATACTCTTCATACAAGAGATAATGCGACAGTATAATTTCGAAATAATGTTATAAGAATATGATGGTCTGAAACTTCAGTCGGCATATAATACTTAGTAGAGTTGGGATAACTGCATGCCCAGCGACTTCAAACTTTCGAGACATGCTAGAATGCGTTGAACTTCTTCGCAATATTCAAGAAAAACACATGTCTTTGTCGGAGTAAAATAAGCATTCGAGTGACAAATATTGAATTTCTCTTTTGTAATACTACAACTCGTGTTCGAAATCAGAGCATACGATTGCAATGAGTCTCTACAACGAAAACAGAGTATGTCACTTGAGAGGTGAATTTCAATGTGAGGAACACTTCGGGATAAAAGAACAAGTAAAACAATTAATAAAGGGAATAGTAGAAAAATTGAAAGTTGTTTGGCATTAACATTTATTAACAAATAGAAAACGATAGTTTTCTCTTCCGCGAAGGATTGAAGGAAGAAATAATTTCTGTTGTCAGAATACCAACAATTTTCTGGACATAATTGCTACCAAAAGTAGGACTATATTATAGACAAGTCGAAAAAATACAATCTGTACTCAAATCTATGCTTTTCCTCTTAACAACGATCGCCACATCGACATACAAACAAATACTTTAGCACTATTAAGGTATTGCGTTATTTTTCTACCCACTGTGACTCTTTTCCTCTCTGCATACGTTATTACTCAATCATCTTCTCTACGAATTACATAACCGTTACTGCAATCATTCTGAGCTGGAACAATCACTTTGGATTTAAATGACTTTTGGAATATAGGCTAAATGAAATTCAAATGAATTCTCGGAATAGATTTGAAAGTAATGGTTTTCAGAAAGAGAGAGAGAGAGAGTTTTTCTCTTTGTGCTCCCATTTGCTCAGTTAAGGATAGTTCAGTGTATTTATTTTAAACAAAAATCGACAATTTCATTATCAAAAGTTAATGACGTCCGTTCTGATCACAAGTAACAAAGTCGAACATCACCTTTCGAACACGTGAAGAAAAACTACACAAGTGTTCAGTGCTGATCCAACTCATATTTAGCCTTGGAATGGAACTCGATGACAGTAGCAAAAACATAAAAAGATTCACTCTCACATTCAACGTATTTAGAATGAGGATTGATTTCCTGTAATGTGCGGAATCTCGCTAGATATCGATGAGTAGCTCACTTTTAAGTTTATAGACAGATATCTGAGCCGCTGGAATATCGCGAACATCTCACGAGTGAAGCGGGCTAAATGCAATGTCGTTTTCCGCTTGAAAGTATTGAATCTTAGTGAATAGTGAAAAAGTCTTTTACGGCTTGGCTTTCTAGTCTTGCCCTTTTGAATTATGAGCTTTTTAATCATTAACATGACAGTTTCAAAATAAAGACATTTCTATAACAATCTGATATCACAGTAGCAATCCGTTTGTTCTCCCACAATTTCTGATCGCTTTCTAAAGACCATAAAATCGATCTGAAAACAAAATTTCAGTTCGTAATGCAATCAATCCACTTTTCTGAAACCGTTATGCTAATAAAACCAAAGTTGAATAAAACGCTCATAACTCAACAAGGCAAGCCTAGGAACTCAAAACGAAATAGACTTTTTCATCAATTATAAAAATCTATCGAATGCCCAGAGTCTCACGCGAAAAGCAATTTTGCACGCAGAGAACATTCTGAATCAGTTCAACAGGATAGATTTTATCCGAGATGTTGATTGTCCAAGAAGTAGATGAGTGTGAGTGTAGATATGAGTCTTAGATACATATCCTCATGCAATGGATCATTAATGAAGACGTCCAATGAAGTTACCCATAGGGCATTTAATACAGCATCTATTATACCCGAACTGGCTCGGTGTATCTCTTGTGAACATGATCTTAGATTTTTTGGCTTTCTTTACTTTGGATGTCTTTCTATACAGAGAAGGGCTATCTTTAAGTGGACTGTTCCACTGTAGGTAACCTAGAGGGGCATATAGTGTTTTATCTTCAATATTTGTACATCAATAAATATGTGTCTAGTGGGTCCATGTTTCGGTGAAAATATGACTTTAATACCTATCATATTGCACTAGAAAGAATCGAAAATTGTTTTTTTTTATTATGCCTAATTAAAAGAAGGCGTGTAAACAAAGAACGAGAAGTGAAGACAAACGCTCTTACAGTTTTCAAGGGCACGAAGACGAAAGAAAAGAAAAGCAGAAGGCAGACAATTAATGGAAGAGTATTACACCTGCTCTTTCTTCTGTGTACGACTATTTTATCAATTACTTTATTTCGATAAACGATATCCATTTCAAGAGAAGTTATTCATGTTTTTCTAAGAAATCTGTTACATAATTACTACGAAAAAACTGACCAAAGTGATCCTTGTTTCTTTTATGCAAATCGTCCCAAATAAAGATATCATCATAGAAAGGTAAATGACAAAGATCTGTTGTGTGCATATGTTGGGATCGTCTTTGAATATATTGTTTAACATAATAAGTAACGAAGGTTTATTAGTCATAGTGTATAAATTACGAGAATGTGAGTGTGTATCTTTGTTTTCGTTCATCAATCATACTTACCCCCACACCCCACAACCGCACCCACATCCTAGACAAAAGATCCCATGTCAATAAAAAAATCAAATTAAAAATCGATTATAATGGCACTATTATAATACGGTTATCATCAGATTATAATAGTGTCATTTAATCGATTTTTAAGATTTTCTTATAACCTTAGTCGTTACATAGATAGTTCATTCATTCGTAAATTCTTATCAAAATCGAAATTCTGAACAGCTTTATTGTCTTTTCTTATAAGACAGAAGTCATGATAAAATTCATATGTCGCTCAGATCCCATGGATGCAGCTTTCTTTTGACTATTACTTGAAAATGAGGTTGTCGTTCAAGCCAATATTTTGCACGATCAAATGGTGATTGAATATTGTGACGTTTATGTCCATTACTCAAAAATATATTCAATCGAAGTCGTAAATATTGAAGATCAGGTAGATATTGTTCGATCAATGTTTGCCATGATCTTGGATCGACTATCATCTTTGTATCTTCACGTGCTTTTAGTTTGAGTATTAAATGTATCAAGTGTGGACATGAGATAAAGAAATGATGGAGTAGTTCGAATGACCGTAAATATTGTATACTCAAATTCATATGTTTTAGTTTGGGAAGAGCAGTATTAAATGTAGAAAGATGTTTACCCCAATCAAAACCGAGTAAATGTGCTTTTAGATGGCCAAGATTAGGTGTATGACGCAAAAGTATTAACATTTGATCGGTTCTTATGGATTCAAGAGTAATATATTCGATTGAGGGTAAATCAAACGAAATTCGATCAATATTCCATCGATTGAACTGATATGGAACGTGTAAACATCGAAGACGATTACGACCAGCTGCTAAAATTATCAACCATACTTCTTCATGCATAGCCATCGCACAGTTACTAGAATCCATTTTTGTAACTTTGATCGATTCAAGTTGTTGCATTGGTAATTGTTGAATAAATGAAAGTAACTTTCGAAGATTTATTGATTGGAATGTAACAGCTCGAATGGTGGAAAAGTTCAAATATGAATATAAATTGTCGTGTTCATCTTCATTATTACTACTAGACACTTTTAATGATCGACATTTGAATGCATCATTGTAAAATATATTACAGTTTCTTATCGTCGATAAATCAAAATATGCTGGATAATGTCGAATGATATTATTCAAGCGTTGATTTAGTCCAAAAAAGGCTCGAAATAGTTCAGTGAAAGATAAATAATCGAATATTTCCATGAGTAAATCAATGTTTAAATCATCAAAACACGTCATCATCATCTGACACGGCTTTCTTTTTTACCAATGATCAGGTGGAGTCAGTAGAGAACGCAAAGAAAAAGAAAAAAAAACGCCATCTTTGACAACTTTTTCTTATGCGTGTCGATAGAAGTCAATGATTCATCATTTGCCTGACTTAGGCGTGCCGAATATGGGTTATCGGTGTGAGTGTGAATGAATTCAACAATCGCATACACACATGCAAAATTTCTACAGGTGAACGTTCGACAGCCCGGGAAAATAGTGAACCATATTATAATGTTTTACACAATGTGGAGTGTGGATTCATCTAATCGTGATCCACACCCTTATCGCGTGAAAGAACCGAAACCGCCTGCTAAACTAATATATCAATGGCAATGAACATGTGAAATTTTTGAAAAGTTTTGTTGTATTTCAATATTTTTTTGTCAGCTTTTAACATGTTGTCAAGAGTAATCTAATATATTTTAATCTATCTAACCAATAAGCGTTTTCCATTGTACGATTTCATGAACCTCTACTATGGTGTTCGTATCTTACGTTAATTCGTTTGTTTTCCTTAATTAAACGGTGCTCACAATTGTCTGCGACACTGAAAAATTTATTATGAATTTTTCAAAGTCATTATATCTATTTGGAAAACTAAAGTGATATCTATCGACTTTCTTATCGGCTTATTTCTATACCGAATCAAACAAGAAACTTGCTATTATTATTATGTATAATCTTGAAATAGTTTCAAAAACTCAAACTGAAGAAAAAAAAATTTCTTCGCGCGCAAACGATTCTGGTGGCCTCGGGACACATCTGAATAAATTTAAAAGTATAAAAAGCAAATTGTTTAAAAAAAAAGATCGTCGCTTAATTTCATCAGTGGTGACATTCGGCAATTTATTTTTATTCCTTCCAAATTGTTTTTTTTTTAAATACAAATTTACTTTGAAAACTCTATTGCAAAGCTTTTCTTCATAAGCATGAGACAAAAAAAAACAATAATTAATATGCCATAATGATATAAATTTTTCTTAAAAATATTCAAGTCATTGATTCTCTGTCTAGCTTAGATAATCAATTTGTGCAAATGATAATAGCTGTTCTTGATAAACATAACTCAATCGTCAGTTCTAAACAGTAAATCAAACAAAGAACAAGGTTGTTCTTTTTTAGCTTCAATTAATGTATGTGTATCATATTGGATAGATGTTACCTATATGAACTATACTTATCGTACAAAGTTTTGATTACATAAATGCACGAATACACCTGTATAACTACTTTTTACCTGTTACACGTGCAGTAAAAGTATAAACGTATAGATAAAAAAAAACGTACGTTGCTCCTAAAATTCATCTCAATGACGGTAATCAAATACCTGTTATTGGTCTTGGACTTTATCAAGCTGATGCAAGTCCATCGACAATTCGTCTTGTTAAATCAGCAGTTCGCGAAGGCTATCGTCTATTTGATACAGCAGAATTATATGAAAATGAATATGAAACTGGTCATGGTTTGATAGCATCTCGTTTACCACGTCAGCAATTATTTATAACAACAAAACTTTATACAACAGCTGGTGGGCGTCGAAAAGTTTTACAATCATTTGAACAAAGTCTTCATCGACTTATGACGAACTATATTGACCTTTATTTAATTCATGTACCACAAGGTGGTCATGTTCTTGAAGCATATGATACATTACTTGAACTTCAATCATTGGGTAAAATTCGTTCAGTTGGTGTAAGCAATTTTGGTGTTGAACATTTAGAAGTTCTAAGACAATCTGGTCGTCCATTACCAGCTGTTAATCAAATTGAATTACATCCATTTATGCAACAACATCCTATTGTTGATTATTGTCATAGATTTGGTGTTACTTTAATGGCTTATTCACCATTAGCACGTGGATCAGCATTAAGAGATCCATTTATAAATAGACTTGCAAGAAAATATCGACGTACGCCTGCACAAATTTTACTTCGATGGTCATTACAAAACAATTTTATTCCGATACCGAAAACAAATCATCCGAATCGTTTAAGAGAAAATTTTCAAGTATTTGATTTTCAATTAACTCATCAGGATATGAAAAATCTTACTAACTATGGTTATCAAGGACAAGCTCATTCAGGATCGGGTTCAACTAATAATGATTGGAATCAATTTGGACCAACTTATTAGACAGAAATAAACTTTTTTATATTTGAAATAAAAAAAAACATTTTAATTATTCGGCATAAGAGATAAATCAAGTACAGGTGATCCATCTTGTCCGGCATATTTTGTTATAATTGCAGTTATTTGTCCACGATTATGAGTATTATGATTAAATATATGATCTAAGGCTTCAGCACGAATACGTTCTTGTATATTACCTTTTCTATCAATATATTGAAATTTTTCTTCCATCATTAAACTTTCCGAATTTAATTCTTTTACATAATCAATCCAGCGATCACATTCGACTATGATTTGATCATATACATCCTTACGATCTTTAACTGCTTGTTCCCATTCATTTGCTGAACGAGACCAATAAGAATTTATTTCATATGGATATTTTTCATCTTCAAGAGGATTTGATGATGAACTAGTTAAACGGGAATACCAAAGTTTACTTGATAATAATAAATGAACTAATGTACCATGAATTGATCGAAAGTAAAGATCATTATCATCATGATAATTTTTATTAGAAATATGTTCGTCTAATTTATTATAGAGTTGCTGAAAAGCCCATCGATTATAGATAGCCATGCGAATAAAATGTTGCTTGTATGCATTCATTTTGTTTTATGAATAATTTTATTTTATCTAGATAGTATACGCCATTGTTCGAGTACGCATTGTGAAGTGCCTCTATTAAAGCAACTGTTATCTCAATTTTATTATAAACTCGGACGAAGAGGTCACCTATTGATTAGTTGTGAATCAATTTAAATTCATATAGACTTTTTGAAAAAGATTTTCTCATTGCTAAAATACTAAGACCAATGTTCTCTAACTTTCACTTGCACTGTTGAGCAGTCATTCACTTATAGCATTTGAAAAAAGTTTGACGGATATGTCATCAGTATATTTAAAAGTTGATTTTTCCATCACAGTTTTAAAAATTTCATTGAAACATCGGTTGATCTCGATTAAAGTTAAAAGTTTAGTTCTATACTTAAACTTGGTTTGAGAATTTTACTATGAAAATAAGCCAATGTTTATATGAAATATCTAGAAAACAAAAAACAAATGATTAACATGACATTTAATGTGCCTTCTTAGCTTTAGGTAAACTATATATCCTACTACATATAATAACATTGTGTTCTCATAGTACAAATAGATAAAAGGTATCTACTAAATTATTGGCACAAATGAAAAAGAATTTTAATCTTTCAGCTGCTATATTATTCTCATTTAAACAAGAGAAACTAATTTTTTTAAGTTACTTTTGATACAGTAAAAGTGAACTTTTTTTTTTCGGTAAAGTTATCATCGAGAACTCATTTTATTGCATTTGCTATTCACTTAAATGACATAGTTCTGTGCTAAGTGTATTATAATTCTATCACCGATTTCATGGGTATGGGTAAAAGTAGTACTCTGTTGTTTACTCCTTACTTCACCTACACCATCAAACTCTCATCGTCAAGCAGATTGAACTACACAAAGAAAGATCGAGATTATATAAAACTGTATAGTACGTGACATCAGTTAAATGTCCAATTTTTAAATAGCTTTAGTATCAGATATGTTACCTTTGATGATAATACTTAATTTAAAACAGCAAAACTACTGCTCCATTCAACCTAAGCAGGTATTACCGATCAGTTCAATATGATAGAAGCCTACAATGACTCAGCGTGATATGACATTGAGTTTTGTACCACGATATATTTGTTTCAGATCAAAGTGCCCTGTTTGGTAATCGCTCAAGGTTCAATTTGATTGGCTTCATTTCTGTACGATATCATAACTATTTTACTACTCCATAATTCTAGTATATAATACAAGCACATGTTACGACGCACTATCCAGAGCTTCATCAGTATTCGACTGGATTGTATTATCCATATAAGACACCCTCATCAAGAAGATGAGCACGATAGAGCATAAATCAGAACAGTCAGAACCTTTACTTCGACTTTTCACCACCAAAATGTAAATTCGTTTATTAATTATCTTAAGCTTAATTTATTTTATATCATGTTCGAATCCAATAACTAAAGTCTTCAATAATGACTAATATTATAAAGACAAGAAAATATAGAAAAATTTTGAACTATTTTTTTAGTGGCATGTTCATCGTGGTAAATAAATAAATATAAAAATGATATGAATTTGTGGAGTTTTATTATCATTATCTTAATACATACTGGATACTATAATAAACAAATGAAACAGTGAAAAAGTACTTGCTTACAAAATGATACAAAGAAAAAGAAAGTAATACACTAAACAAGAAAAGAAAATGTTTTTATAAAAATATTTTATTCTTTTAAATTCATCTAATTCATACAATGTTATCAGGCTATTCAGTATTAAGACCTAGTGTCAATGTCAAGATAAAAGAAATGTAATTGCTTTTTGAATAATTCTTCAGTAGAAATACCCATATAATGATTAATAATATTAGTTGACAAATCTGAAGATCCGTTATTGAAATGGAAAAAAGCACTTAATATTATAAAATGAACAATTTAGTTATATTCAGAATGGTTAAAAAATTAGTTATCTATTGAAAGATATATAATATCTAAACTCGAAAACATTCATGAAGAGTTGCTTAAATCATTTATGACAGTCAATGTTGGAATTATAGCTTTTTGAAGAGAATTCAAGAAAAATGTCAAATTTATGTTGAGTTCTACGTCTTCAGCAGATAAATCTAATGCACTACTTTAAATTATAATTCGATACATTTTTTAAAACACTTTAAGTGCTTCTCTGTATTTCGCTGATCGGATATGTTAGTTAGCAGTGTTAAGCATTGTCTGGAAAGATGCAGGTTGATTGCATTTTTTCTTATGATGAAAATTGTAGATCATTAGTTACTTCTGCTGGAAAGTTATTCAAACAAAGAAGCAACCTTTTTCGATTTTTTAATGGATAATAACTCATTCCAAATTACTCAAATACTTACAAACAAATCAAGCGGTGAATTATCAATCATAGCAATTGGAAAACTGAACTTGAAGACTATTTCAAACATATAAATGCGAAGCAAACTTGAGAAAAAAGTAAGATTAATAAACTTTACTTGAAAATCTATGAAAATATGAGAGCATTGTTCAGATTTTTATAATAATTTCGAGCTTTCTAGGCAGACGTGGACGTCCTTTGTTTATGACATTCATTCACCGATTCAAATAAATGCTAGAAATATATCAGCAATGTTATCATAGAAAATGTTTTTCATTATAAACTGTACTACTGTTGCTTTTCTTGGCAGAGGAATCAATTAAAAAACATCTATCTAGTCGCTCAAACATTTACTCTCATTTAGATCTTTGAAATAAAAAAGATTGTTATATCTCGAACCAGATGGGAGGAGTTTCATTTCTTCTGATTGAAAACCATGTTTTGAGAAAATCATAATTAAGTTTAAAAATGAATTTTTTTATTTTAATCCATAAGGAGAAATATATTCAGATGGCATATTCACAATAAATTTGCACGAAGTTTTTAAAAGTACTAATGGGTGACGTAGGCGAACAACAACTTTCTGACTTAAGTTATATTAGAATGCCTATTCAGTATAGATACAAATCAAAAGTCATTCTTTTCAAAAATTAAAAAGCCGAGGAAGTGTCTAGGAAAACATAACAGCAGGATCAACATTTCTTCCGAAAATCTGTTAAAATCTAACCTTTTTTCAATCATATATATCCCCCAAAAAAAACGGAAATTTCGCTGCATCTTTTTATGATAAAAACTCAATTTCAATTTTGCTTAGAAAAATCTGATTCTCTTGGGGGAGGGGGGGGGGGAGGAGTAGGAAGCTTAAAGTTAGTGATGGAAACAAGTAAGTACGAACAAGAATGTTAAAATAAATATGATTATGCTTTTTTTTTTTTTCTATCTACACAATAGATTTATTGCATAAATACATTTTTTCGTCGTCGCATTGGATAATAAATACTATTTTTTTCAATTAAGTAGTCGAAAACAATAATGATGAGAGAAAAAAATCATGCTGGAAATTCAGTATTTCTATGTATATCTAAGTATTTGTGAAACACAGAAATATGTAGAAACACGCTTTTTCCTCGTTGATTCAGCTCGTGGGCTATCACATAATCTTTTACGCGTAAAAAAACAACAAAAATCAT